TTAATTAAAAACTTGTTTAAAACTGATTGATGGACTATAAAGTGCTCCATTTATTAATAATAAACCATTTCTGTAATGATGTGTTAAATAGTTTCATAATTTATATTTATATTTTAATTTATAAGTATAATATTTTATAAATAAATCTTTTAAAAAATAAAATAATAACATTAATTCAAATTTTATTATTTAAATTATACAAGATACAGTATTCTGTATAAATACCACAATAAATAGCTTATTATTTTATTTTATCTAAAAATAATTTAGAAAATTAATATTAAAATTTTTAGTAATACATGATAGTCATTCATTTGATGTAATATTAATTTGTAATTGATTTCATGTGATGTCAAATATCCATCAAATATATCTATGAATTTATAAATATAAATGAATGGAAAATATACTGTACTTTATAATCTAAATGTATTAATATTAATGTTTAGAAATCTAAAACATTAAAATTTTTTATTTTTCGTTTCAATTGATATTCAGATTAATATACAAACTAAAAATATTTATCAAAATAAAATTATAACATAAAATTATTTTATCTAAAATTGCAATCTATTATATTGATAAATACACCCAGGGATGTGATATTCTCACAAAACTTTAGGGAAGGGTCAAAATGATAACAATTTTAATTACTATTAACAAAAATAATATATTTTACAAATTTTTAAGTTATTAAAATTAATATCATATACAATTTAGATATATCTTAACATTCATAGATATAACCTCTTAATTTATCTTGATACAAATGGCTGTAAGTATATTTTAACACGATTTTTGACAAAATAGTTGTCATATTTTATGCTCAGATAACCAACAAAATCATTTGAAAATAAATTGATTTTTATTTACTTTTTTAAAATCTGATGTTTGATTTGATGAGAAAATGATTGAAATAATTATTTTTAGAAAAAAACTGATTTTCTAAAACACCATTGCAAATAATTATACTTTGAAAAACAATTTTTCATTTGAATTGATAAATAAAACAAAATTCAAATGAGAGCACATATGAAAATAAAATAATAAATATAAATATGCAAAAAATATATTCAACCAACAATTTTATTCAAATTTTATTACATTCCGTAGTGAAAAATACTAATATAAAGCAAAAATAAATCTTTGATTAGAATTCAAGTCTAATTAATCATATAATTTCAATTCAATTTCAATATATTTTAACACATACTTACAATTCCTAGTTTCATATGATGTCAATTGAGTTATTTATAATTCAAATAATAGTTTGTATCATTTTTTATTTGATTTGTAGCTATAAGTGTGATTGAATGACACTTTTATCGAAATATATTCACAGATTTCAAGATTTATTTGTTTCCAAAAATATATCATTGAAAATACAGTAAAGTATATCAATAGATTCAAAAATAATTATGACATACATTGCAATCAAAGCACTCGAAATGTCACCACATTTTTATGCTTAAGATGTTTGATCTTATAATACTCTGTATAACAAACGTTGCATATTTATTTTTATAATATTAAGATTTAAATTCAAAGTTATTAAAATAATATATTAAAGATACATTTTCTTGGATTATTATACAATATAAGATTATTATAAATTCAATTTTCTGTGAGACTAAGGTCATTGTTTAAGAAAATGTTTACAAAACTTCGTAAATTGAATCCATTGACCAATAAGTTATTGTCTTAAACTAGGTTTCTATAAAGATATTTATTGGTAACACAATTAGGACTTCAGTAGACATCTAATATATTGTCATAAAGTCTACTTGGCATTGGAGTCTCATGTGATTTAAACACATTATTTTCTCTAAACTAGTTATTGAATTTAGTTCATAATTGAATTCATTTTTGCAGTAAACATAATATTCTGTATATTTTATCAATCATTCAGACAATAATAATTTATAGCAAGGAATGCAAACATCTTTTTTAATAAATAAATTTCAATTACATATTATTGAAGTCTCATATTAAGTAACTTAAACATAGGTATCATTATAATATAATTTTGTTTCCAATATAATATAATAATTACAGTAAATTATTAAAACAAAAAAATCTCTGCTTTTAATTATGGTGATTACGTTTTGTAATGACATGAAATACATTAAAATATAATGTTCATCAAAAATAATTCATCCAAGAAAATTATAGTTTAAATAATTTTAGTTTATTATAATTATAAAATATTAGTAACTAATCACAAATATCACGAGTATTTTATAAAACACATGCAAATTGAAAATGAATCGAAAATGAATTCGTGGACAATCAATATTTTATATGCAATTAAACTTAAGTTTTTCATTATAACTTAATGTCATATTTTATGTTTATAATAGTCATTGGTCACTAAATGGGTAAATTTAAAATATAATTATGTAAATACTGTGTTATCATTTTATGTTCAATTTTAGTATTTTACATCAACTTATATTGAAAATTAAAAATTTTATACTGATAACAAACCTAAGCATCAAGTAATATACATGTAACATGTATGTCCGTGTGAATGGCCAATAGATATATATTTTTAATAAATTCTTAATATTATTATGATTTGAATAACATAATTTTAATATAAAATTACTCAGTAACTTTAAATTTAATGATTATTATCATACTCAATCCCAGAAATTAAAAGTATACAGTAACTAATTTTTAAATTATTTATTTACACGACTTTCAATAAAACTCTGAATTAACTGAAACTCAATATAATTTTATTTTTATTATATATTTCTTATTTAATTTTCAGATTCCGAAAGTCATGACTTGAAACACAAAACCTTTACTTTCGGAACTGAAAGTAATTTTAAATTTGGTGTAAAACCTTTTTTGCATTTTATTTAATGTTAATTAAATTCTCACAGATATCTGAATAACAATAAACCTGTTCCTCTTATTTTCATCGGTTTTAAACTACAAAAATGAGGGACAGTCAGGTCGGACACCAAACTCCATGTGCTCTATAAAAATAAGATGCTATCACAAGCTCAGTATTACTGTAATTTCGCGACTCAAATGGTATTTTAGCGAAACTCCTTGTGTACACAATTTCTAAATGTAAATTTTGTTCACAACTTTATTTTGTGTTTTTTGAAGTCTATTTGAAGGCTGTTTTGAATGTAAATTATTTGACACATAAATGCCTGACATTTTCCACACAAAAGGCATATAAATATATTATTGAGAGACGAGAATATTTACGAAAAGAGTTCAGTCTTTGACGACAACCGCTTAATTCAATAATAAGATAACCATAGGCTCTGAGACTGAATACTATTCCCAAATAAAACCTTTGCTCTAAAATATAGTTTTGTTTCATTCACTCATTTTATGTAATATTCTCTCATATATTGTTATAAAAACATCATTATTCATGTCAAGTGTATTGTGAATTAAGAGAAAAAATCACTTTAGTTTCAAACAACTTTTATGCTTAAATTAACGCATCATTTGAATAGATTTGTGAAATAAATATTAATAATTTCTACCAATGGTTGACACAATTGTGTGAATCACATCACTTGAACACAATTTAATAGGCATTGCATCTAATGATTGCTATTTTTGGGTCAACTTTTAAAACTAAAGTAATAATAAATTTTTAGAAAAGGGAAACAACTGTGTAAATGTATTATTATTTCGATGATTTACTTAATTGAATGCATTTTCTTAATGTAGGGAACGATATGTGCCGACGGGTTGGGTACGTGTCTAATCTTTACGATACGAAGTAATGAGTGATCCGGAAGTCATCAGTCAGTAACCAGAGGACTAACCCTATTATCCATTTTCATTACATCTAATGTCCGATCAATATTTGTCCGCCAGATCTGTCCACAAGAGTTAATGAATAAAACATACAGTTTTATAATTTTAAGTATTTTCGTCATTATTATAATACACAACCAATAAAGTTAATGAGAATAAGTGAGAATATTTATGTGAAATTTATTACTTTATTATAAGTTATTGTATCAAGTCTAATGTTTTAAAATAAATACATTGACCAGGGTCGAATTAAGTTGGCATGTTAGAATGAGTACAAAGACAATTCTATCTAATTTATGAACATTTATTTTGTGTTTTAAACATTTTGACATTTGTATTAAATTTATACATCTGTTTGCCTACGGCTTCTCATATTGTCTATAATAAAGGGATGTGTCAAACATTTTTATGCAATAATAAAAATACATTATATTTGTAAATAATGTTAATTATTGTAAACATTTTTAAACACATACTTGGGTTGCAATGGGTTAGAGACTGGGCTTGTCTTTCAAAATGCAATAATTGAAGAATTGTGTGACTATTTGAAAAGTTTCGTATTTATTGCTGACATAAATTGTCATAATTTTTATTTTGTGTGTGTTATTGAGATAATAGTATTTTTAAGCATTACCGTACAATTAAACTCTCATTCAAACGTTCAAAATGTAATTTATTACAATTAAAATAAATTACATTTAATTAATAAATTAATAATTTATATACAAATTATTAATAGTAAAAACATCAATACATGAATGATAACACTATAATTATCTATATTAAACCAAATTAATTATTATATTATAATTTAATAAATAATACCAACAAATATGAAACAGCAAAAAACGCCCAGGGCACTTATTCCACAAATTTCTGGTATATTCTACAAGGATCTCATATATATTAATATATAATCCGACAAAAAACTATATAATTAACAAATATTTATAAACACACCAATTAGACAACATATTTCACATAAATTGCACACAAAATTATCACACTATTTATTTAATTAATTAAGCATGATCAAAACAAATTCATTGCATGTATATTATCAGCAATTGATTAGCTTCATGTAGAAAAGTTGACAAATATATTCTCGCCTCAAATGCACAGACATTGAAAATATAATCACATTATTTATGTAGTACTGCGTGTGGAGTGAAAAAAAGTTTTGTTTTCATCGTTTTAATGGAAATCTGTATTTAATTATCGACGAAAGCGTTCACGAAAGCCATTGGTTTCCCATTACTAGTCATTGGATCCCTTAGTGTCTAATCACTCGGATTTGAGCACTCATTGCAGCTTTAAATTGGTTATCCTTTTAACGCATATGTCGTGTCCAATGAATTGGCTAATTGTAGTGATTTTCATTGATTTGGTGGTCACTTGAGTGCAATAGAAAATGAATAATAATTTTCAGTTTGAATTCAATAAATATATTAATCAAAAGCGATTACTGAAGAAAATATTTGATGAGACACTCATCACATGCAATGAGATCGCTATCAATGACTACTTCACCAAAGGTTTGCTCAAAATGTCTTACATTTTTAATGTTTGTTAGTTTTTTAAATGTTTTATTTTCCCAATCATTGTCTACATATGTATACAATATATATTACACATAATATTGCGTCAAAGTGCGTCAAATAATAGTTTGTATCAAAAGTTTTTTGACTTTATCTCCCATTGAGTTGCGGCCAAAATACACGACTTTTTTGTTATCAATTCATAAGTTGTGTTACAATTGTCTTAATAGTCTATCAAATAATCAATTATTGACTTTCTGTTAATTATCGCAACTTTTATTCATATGAAATATATTAATAAATAAATAATAATCATATTTACGACTGTATTGAGCGAAAAAACAGACAGATTTGAGAGTTCAATAACTTTTGAGTTTTTAATTTTAAGCCAATTTTGTTGGACAATAATTTCAATAATATCTCTCAAATACACTTTAAGCCATCATTTCTTATCAGATAATCCGCACACATTTCACACGGCTTTGCATTAATTTGTTGTTTAAAAGAGATTTAAATTTTTGTTATAATTTATCAAAAGACAAACTTTTTGTTATTCTTGAGATAAACATGTTTTTTAAGTCTAAAGTTTTTGTTTCTTAACACTAAATAATTGTATATTTAATATAAGCGACGCCTAAAGTATTGACTCTAACTATGTTTGTGTTGCAAATGATTTGATAAATCTATTTATTGGATAAACTCATAGCATTTTTCGTTTATAAATTTAAACATACATAATTTTAAATATTTATCTCCATTTACCCCTTTATCTAAATAACTTTATAATTAATTGATTACAAAAAATTAGTTATCGTAAAAAACTAAAGTTTTTAAAACACTGATGAGTTTAACACAACACGAGTCCCATTGATATAAATGGGATTCTTTATGTGACAGAAATGTGTCTTAAAATGCTTTTTACAAATATTTGTCTAAATATAGATCTAATATATAATTAGTTATATTGCTGTGAAATATCTACCAGAGCAAAAGGCGCCAACACTTTCATTACTACTGATTCCCAATAATGATTATATCAATCAAAAAGAAGGTCTAAAACTAAGAAATTCTCACTTTTTCTGTTAAACCCTTTCATTGGAAACTTTTTGAACATTCATTTGTGTTGCTCAATACATATGAACTGATTTTTGCTGATTTGTCTCACTTTTAGATCAATTCTCGGAAATATGTCTTAAAGACGAGGACGAGAAGTTCATCCGTGAAATCATTGAAACGCCGATCGGAATCGTTGTCTTGGGATCCAAATCCTGGGCTAAGGCTCAAGTCGTCAATGAACTCTTGGGCTGCGCTCTCCTTCCAGTATGTCTTCAATATATTTAACAAACTTTTTATGACATTAATTACAATTTCATTCACTATTAGGTCGACACCAATGAGAGGGCTAACCCATGGCGTACTGTCCGCTGTCTATACGGCACCCAAACGGTAGTGTCTTTAGCTGTGGCCCATTGCTATGAATTGGTCGAGCATTTGGCAGCTTATGATCAGGTCTGGCATACCATACCTCAGAGCGATTTGCAGCTTAAACAGGGAGACGCCAACGCCATCCGAGACCCGGGCTATCACTTGGCAACTCTTGAAGTGAAACTACCGCACCCTCTACTCAAAGACGACGTCCAGATAGTGGTGTCGCCGGGACTTAACGACTTCGATGTCATCTATTCGTGTTGTTTTGAAAACATTAACCCAATTGTAATATATGTCGTATCCGGAGAAGACGAGTGTCTGTCACCCCTCGATGTCCAGCATTTGTGTGACTTTCGTGTCAAAGAACCCAAAATTCCCATATTTTTCGTGCGAACGAAGGAAGTGGTGTCACAACCGCTGACCCCATCGCCCAGTTATGGCGAATTCTCGCCGTCAGAGTTGACTGAATCGCAACAACACTGGTATTACAACCGACAGCACTCGTCGGCGGCGGTTGTGAGCTGTTCGGTGGGCGGCCACAGCCCTCCCATTGACAGTGCATTAGTGATGCCCTCATCTTCATTGCCAAACACACAGTTCGAGTCATTTCATCGAAACTCTTCGTCTATGGCATTATACCAACAGTTATGTAATTTAGGATTTCTTAACCAAAGCCGGCATCACATGAGAGGACAGCTAACGCACGAATCGGTGGCTAAAAAGTCTCGACGCGACTACTTCTTTGACGTCACATCAGAATTGGTTGAAAACTTCAGCAACTTTTCGTCCATTTTGTTATTCTTTCGCAATATCTTGAGATCAAATCTGGTGTCGGCCACGACTCTACTCAACGAATCACACAATCATTGTCTTCGTATGTTTATACTGACAGCACATGACATGACATGGGATCTCCAGATCACACCCAAGCGTATCGAATACGTGAAACAACGAGAGGCAGAGCTGTTCTCGTCGTTGATGGCCATCGCCAACAAAAAGCAGGAAGAGATCAAACAACTGATATCCGAGACAATCGACTTCATGCGCTCCGATATTCAAAGCCAAGCGGCGAACCACGAGTTCACGAGTCCTATAATCAATTACAATAACATCAGTGCCCGTGAACTACACAACTGTACCGATGAGGTGCAAGACTTAGTGCTCACTCTACTCAACAGTGCCATCGCATCCAAATTAGTCGGCTCTGTGGACATCATGAGGGAGTCATTCATCGGTACACTCGAGCGGTGTCTCTCGTGTCTGGAGAACTCGATCCAAGAGGCCGGCGAACCCCGCGAGACGTCAGTCGCTCTCAAAGAGATACTGAACGCCGCCTATCAGATAGAGGTGAACATCAAGACGTCGCACAACTTCTTCCGCGTGTTGTGGGAAAAGATGAAACAATTGGTGAAAACGATTTCATGGAAACCTTATCCCACTGTTGATGACGAGTGGAAGAAGAGTGTGGCCAACGATGTGTTGGACAGTCTCAGCGAATCACGACTCGCCAAAAGTATTTGCCTTCAGTTCAGGGATCGACTCAAACAATCGCACGACTACTTCACGATAGCTCTCAAGCAATTGGGTAAATGTTTTGTCACTTTTTAGTCTTCATTAACAGACAATATCTTTGCCAATACTTCCAGAGGGCGCACATATGGGACGTATGCGGCGTACGGATGACCGCCGCGAACAGGTCCGCAAGAATCACGCGCCGGGTTTCGCGAAGTTTGCGTTGGAGTCGACGTCTCTAATCGATGTCATAATCCACGGAATGCCTCAATTGGGTCGTGAGATCGGAAGGGGTCAGTACGGAGTGGTCTACTCATGCAATCGTTGGGCCGGTTATTCTCCCTGTGCTATCAAATCGGTGGTACCGCCCGATGACAAGCACTGGAATGACTTGGCGATGGAGTTCTATTACACCCGTTCCATACCAGAGCACCCGAGGGTCGTACAAATTAGGGGAGCAGTCATTGACTACACATACGGCGGCGGTATTACACCCGCAGTACTTCTCATTATGGATCGCATGGTCTGCGATCTGTACGCCGCCATCAAGAATGGCTTGGAATGGATGGCCAGACTGCAGGTGGCGATCGACGTCTTAAGCGGAATCCGTTTCCTTCACGGCCAGGGATTAGTGCACAGAGACATCAAACTTAAGAACGTATTACTGAATAACAAGAATCGCGCGAAGATCACAGATCTGGGCTTTTGTAAGCCGGAAGCCATGATGTCCGGGTCCATCGTGGGAACGCCTATACATATGGCACCCGAACTCTTCTCCGGCCGTTACGACGGAATGGTTGACGTCTACGCGTTTGGTATACTATTCTGGTATATCTGTGCCGGACATGTGAGGCTTCCCTACGTGTTCGAGCAGTGCCAGAGTAAGGACCAGTTGTGGACTGTCGTCAAGAAAGGTATGACATCTCAACACTGGACTCTAAATACAATTTGTTTAACCGTGCGTTTGGCTGCACATACAGGCGCTCGACCGGAACGACTGCCCCAATTTGATGACGAGTGTTGGCTACTGATGGAGCAGTGCTGGAACGGCGACCCAACCCTACGACCACTACTCGGCAACTGCGAGGAGAAACTCAAACAAATTGAAGAGCACTACCGTCTCAGTCAACCGCCGACCGGTTATAACAAGAATTACATGCGAACCAAAGTCAACAAAATCAAAACAAAAAATTAACACATTTTTAGCAAAAAAAATTAGCTTTTATTATATATATATCTTTAATAAACACCATTTTTATTAGAATTTGTTTGTTATGAAAAAATGAATTAATAAATGATATTTTGTGATCCATTTTACGCTAAATAGTTGAGGACATCCCTCTGATTGGTGTCTCTTTCTAAGTACTCACGCGAAATGAGTTCTTCGATTCCTTTCTGTATAAACAAAACAAAATCCAATCATAAATAAGTTGCAAACACCAAATCACTCGATGGTTGCATACCTTAATCATTGGGACTGTTGGGGCAAATTTGGCGCCGATGTGGTTCAGTACTTCGCCCACTAGTTCCTGATGTTTGAGTGTTTTTCTAGTTTTCATTATGCGAACGATGGCGGCCTATGATTCAAACAAACAAATCAATTACGAAATCAATTAAAAAGTTTGCAATTTTACAAATAATCTACTGATTTGTGCGCATACATACCTCAATCACATATTTGCGGGACTCGTCGATCTCCCGGTGCGCCCTATCATCGTCTTCCTTGGCATCAGCTTTGATGGGCATATTGATGTTGATTCGCAACTTCTTATTCCTATACTGTGTGTTCAGTTTAATGACACTCTCATCGATGAGACTGTCCTCATGTGTGGCACTCGTGAATAGTTTGGTCTTCAGGAAGATCTTCATAATCTGAACCAAAATCTCTATTTTAATATCAGTGCTGTCGACAATGTCTTGGATCCGCAACTGATCCGTGGAATTGAACAAAAGCATAATCGCCATCTGGAATACACTGGTGTTGAATGTGTACACCTTTCCGCTGCACCGATAGATAACGTCGCCCCTGGACCTCGGGTACGCCCAGGTCAGTTTCCTACCCTGATGTTTGGTTATGTAGAACGCGGTATAGCTCTGCACACCCGATGCCAACTCTTGAGGGAGACTGAAGTCGTAGTTGACAGTACCCCAGGGCGCCGCCGCACCACTGATCACCTTCACGGACAGGTCGATGTCCAGTCGGACGGCACTCGTGAACTGTTTGTTGAGTTCTTCGCTGAGTTGGACGTCATGAAAGACGCGCTGAAGTTTACTCGTGTACTCCACACCACACGCTTCCTATTAGACATCAAATGCATCCATTAATACAATCGATACAATACACCACAAATCAAACGCACCTTCAGTTTACTTATCACAAGGAGCTCAGCGTCAGCGCTGGCCGACGTGTCCTGAAGCAGTCTCTGAGTCATTAATCTCAGGTAGAAGTTGTTGTAGACGTCCTTATCGGTGATGAACCTAAAGATGGTCACCGCTTGCGTCAGTTTGGTCTCCAATTCATTGATTTCCATTTGCTTCGCTTTGTTCTTCAGCAACACATCACAGTATTTCGCCAACAGTTCCGGCGTTTTCTTAGACATTATGGGCGACGCTTCGGTCACTTTGTTTATGTTCACAAAATCCATGGAAGCCTACCATAAAAGCAATCATTAGAATCAATGAATAACACTACAGACACGAGAAGACATACCGCGTCCAATGACTTGAAGAACTGAGCGTCCGATTGGAGCGCCTTTTCCAACAAATTCCTGTACTTATCGTAAACACTCCAAATGGTTTCGACGAATAGGATCGGGTCGTCAGACGCCTTGTCGGCGATCTTCTCGACGGCCTCTTTGCCGTCTTTAATGATGTGGTCTTTAAAGAACTGACACAACTGTACGATCGCTTTGTCCACTCGTATCACCAGTTTGTAGAGGACGGCCAGTTCTGACACAAAACACACCAATAGTTAATAAAACACTTTTAAATAAATGAAAAACTAAGACATACTGTCGATGTTATCGCCGACTAATAACTTCTGAAACTCTTCGATGAATTTATCGATTTTCTGGACAATGAGCGCGTTTTCCACCGTTTCGATGGTCGGCGTCAACAGGCGCTCATTTAGGTAGCGTTTGACGCGATCCCGTTCCTCCTCCAGACGCACCGAACACTTAAACATATAGTCTGTGAACGAGTTCTGCTCTAAGAAAGTGTTACTTTCGTTGGTATAGAACTCGAGGGTCTGTTGAATGAATGGGATCTGAAAGGACTCCTCGAAGACTCTGTTGGTGTCCTCATCGACTTCGCGGTTGATTTGACTTAATTCCACGAAACAGTCGACAACACCACTCACGAGTCGAGTGTTAATATGTTCACCGTTTCTGTCCTTTTCGATGAGTTTGAGGACTGACTTACAAACTTTGCGCCCGAAGTCGTGCAATAGGCTGTCCTTCCACTCGAGTTTGGCCAACACCTGGATCTCAGAGATATGGCGTTCGGTGTTTGACTGGCAGTAGAAACGGTTGATATAACTGCAGACACCGTTCAGCACTTTGGATGAGAACTTGTATTCTTCCCACTGTTTGGTGTAGAAGTCGAGCAAAGACTCCTCGTCTGGATATGAATTGCATTTCTATGGCATCCATACAAACAAGACATCAATCAAACACACCATTCAATGCCATTCATAAGACACTCAATACGAGTGCCAATAGTAATGACTGCATACCTGTCGCAGGCCTTCGATGTGAGTCTTGAAGAACTTCTGGATCTTCTTATAAATCACTTCTTTGATGTTCGGGTTATTGTTTTGTGTACTTTTGTGGACACCATTCGAGTCGGACCTCATGTTTGTGCACTTGTTATGGATGAGACTATAGCACGACATGTACTCGTCCTGAGTCATCGGTGTCTTCTTCTCGGCGAAGATGCCGGCAATGGTTCTGTCGAACTGTTCCATGAATTCCTCGTCCATCGCGTTGTCCTTGTCTTTGGTCGACGGCCTCTTCGCTGCTATTCATGCCATACAAACACACCATCAGTACAATGGCTACCAATTGGTCGCTTAAGACACACAAAGCAAACACATGTCTACTCATAGCACGAATACATATAATCTTAAGACAAGACAATGCCATCAATGCTTACCTTTTCCTCTGACCATCGCTTTAATCGTCAATCAAATCAATGGATATTTATAAACACAAAAACAGTTACTTTTCGTCAATTGAGTGGTGAATGCGTGGATCAGTTGACAGGCTATTGACTAGTGGTCTGAACGGATGTACTCTTACCTCAAGAATCAGTGGTTATACTAATGAATCCAATGGTTAGCAATGGATTCAAATGGCAATCAAAGCGAACGTTACGTTCACAACAATCTGACACTCATTTCAATGAATGAACGAAAGGCAATGCAATGCCTATGAAACTGCAATACTGTGTCATGTGATCACGTGATCGTCACCTAATAAAACACTGTTGCAATAGTTTGCTGTATTATTCACGTATATAGTGACCCACTTTTATGGTAGGGGTGTGTGTTGCCAAACAACGGCTGACAATGCTTTCAGTGCTGTACTGAACGCCGGCTTTGGTTTGTGTGCTAAAAGTGTTTGCAAATACATTATACGTGAATGGATTATGTTTTTTTAGCAAATAGTGCACAATTATCTCAACTTTTATACACTTTGTGAACAAAGTTTAGTCACTTTAGTGGTGCTGTGAATGTGTGTCTAAATAGTTTGCATACAATTGGATGCACACTATAATTGAATTTCAATATTAATATTAATACTCAAGTGATTGCCAGTCAATACTGATTGAAATGAACGGACAGTTGACTCGTAAACTGTTGGACACTAACAAAGTGCCCAAATCTCGAGTAAAACACATTCCTGTCATTAATGACTGCATGAATGCATTGCTCACACGATAGCACTTTTGGGTCGATTCTGAGATTCTGTAGATTCTGTGCTCAACACTCGTGCTATCGTGTGGGTAATTGTGATGACATGAGTCTAATTATACATTTAAATCAATAACTACTAATAATTACTACTTTTGACACTATTTTCGAGTCAACAATTCTAATGATACTTTCTATAATTGAAGTGTACATGAACATTTTTGACAATTCTTAATTTAATTTGAATATTGCATTGTATTTAATAGATGTAGTGTAAAAAGTTATGATTTAATAGGAAATGCTGTAATATTATTGCTAATGATTGCAATTTACACTGATCATAAACTAAACAAATAGCTACTTTCAGGTGGAACTACACCTGCATTTGGGAGGTTCTGTGCGATTATCCACTGTATGGGAGTTGTGTCACAAAAAAGGTATAGTTCCCGAAACCAGTGAATCCATGTGAAGAATATATTGCGAAAGTTGTAGTCATTTGCTAATTGTGTCCCAAAAGGCATCAAATTGACACCAAATGGCACTTTCAATGAACTCATGGAGTATTGTGTGATTAAAAAGCCGGGAAAGTTAGCCGACTTCTTGAGTATTCTGCAACATTACGGCAAGTTTATTGTGTGAGTACATCGATTATGATTATGATCAGGGTGGATATCTTTTAGAAAATTATTTTTGAGTTTTTTCCATGCTTCAAGTTTTGTAATTCTTGAAAGTTTCCAGCACATTCATATACCAGTAACAGTTTTTAAGTGTTTATTCCTATTAGAAAGTATTTCTTATTGCCTGTAACTTAAGTATATTTTTCCACATTATTTTTAACACATGTATAAAATGACTAAACTATTAGTTTTAGTAATTTATTGAAATTGTTAATTGAGAACTAATGACTACTAAAAAATTTAATTTTTCAAATATATTCTCTCGATCTCTAACCATAATATGTGTTCAATTGTGCTATAATTGATGTCTTGTGCGTTAGTGGAGACCCGGATGCTCTCGAGCGGTGCGCGTATGAGATATGCGAAGATGAGGCCAAAGAAGGGGTCTTTTACTTCGAGTTGAGGACTTCCCCACATCTCGGCTCTAATACCGTCAAGAAAGGGAACAACAGTCCCATTGTGGCGGCCAATCATCCCGATGCCTGTCCACCCAAACTAGTGGTCGAATCCGTTCTCAGAGGTCTTAAGAGAGGACAACAAGACTTCGGAATTCGCGCGACACTCATACTGTCGTGTGTCTGCGGTTTCCCCGGTATTTCACATGAGTTTTGTGTCTTATTTTGTGAATATTTTTGTTTTTCTTTAAGAATGGAGTGAAGAAGTGCTACAATTGGCACAAGAGTTCAAAGACAAAGGCGTTGTTGGCATTGATATCGCCGGACAGGAAGACATGAACCCATTGTCCACTCATAGCTTCACTCCGAACGAAGTGATGGCTTTCACGGCCGCCAAAGAGTTAGGGATTCACCGCACAGTTCACGCGGGAGAGGCCGGACCGGCGGCTAATGTGGAGTTCGCGTTGGACTCGATGTTTGCCGAACGCATTGGACACGGATATAGTGTCATCTATGACGAGGACATGTATAAGCGATGTCTGAGGGATGGCGTGCACTTCGAGGTCTGTCCCTATTCTAGTTATTTCACGGGTTCTATACGTCCGGACAATAGAAACCCAATCGTTGTGTTCGCCGAAGACGGCGCCAACTTCTCCATCAGTAAAGACGATCCGACCGTTACGGCCGTCACTCTGGACCAGGAGTACGACTATTGCCGACAATTGGGCTTAAATGAGGTCCACATCACGCGAGCCGTCAGTATTTATGAGGTTTTCTTAATTGAGTTTTAGTTGAATTGGTTTTTGTTTGTTCAGAATTTCAATGCAATGAAAGCATCGTTTTTACCACAAAAAGAAAAGGATGAGCTCTTGAGACAACTCTACTCTGTGTATGGAATCAATTGACAAAATCTCTTAAGTTTATATATTTTGTACAACAAGTGATTATGAAATAAATTCATTAATGTTACTAAACATTACTAACATTATTGTAATCACTTTTTAAATTCCAATTACTTTGATAACTGAATTTATTATTGACTTATTTTAATCTGTATTGATTTGTAAGCAAATGCAATAAATATGAATTTGTATGATGAAATTGTGTTGAATATTTTATTAATAAAAGTAAATCATTGATATCACAAAAATGTTTATCTCAAGGTTCAGTTAATATTTATAGTGTGATAGTAATGATTAATTGGTAAACGTTTAAAAGACGCTACTATTTCTGATAAATTTATTTAAAGTTAATTTCCACTCGAGTGAGAAATTTATTTTCAAATCATAAATTAAAGTTTTTAATCTCAAAAATTATATACAATATATATATAAAGCATTGAGTGACAGATTAAGTTACAATTATTAGCCATGTCATCACTGTTAAGAAAACTAATCGACGTTAAAAAAGTTCCGAAATCTAGAGTCAGTTATAATATAAAATATAAAACTTAATTACTAAATAAAAATGTATATTTAAATTTAGGTGGAACTGCACCTCCATTTCGAAGGGTCTGTCAGACTGACCACAATATGGGAATATTCACAGAAAAAGGGTAATCAAAGAATAATGCATTGAATTTGAATTACCAAAACTATTCAAGTGTTATATTTTGACACAAAGGCATAAAACTAACGCCAAACGGAACTTTCGATGAGTTAAAAGATGTCTATGTCATGAAAAAACCAGAAACTCTTAAGGAATGCTTGAATTTGATATCTGATTATTACAAGATTTTTGTGTTAGTATTTTGAATCAATAATTTCGATATAGAACTTTATACCCATCAAATAACCATGATGACTTTATTCAGTGGTGACGCCGATATACTCGAGAGAATCGCATATGAATTATGTGAAGACGAGGCAAAAGAAGGGGTTCTGTACTTCGAGGTTCGGATGTCACCCCAACTGTCCTCCAATACAGTGGAGAACGTGTGGAGAGAAGAGGGAAACTTCAGCGAAGATATACCCACAGAAAAGTACACACATCCCGCCAACCCATGCACTCCTAATCAAGTGATCGAAAGTGTGTTAAAGGGTCTGAAGAGAGGGGAACAGGAGTTCGGAGTTTACTCTTCACTTATACTCTCGTGTATGACTCAATTCCCCGGTATTTCACAATTTCTGTATTCAATCAATGAATTTCTTATTTACGAATCAAATGAAACCAAACTTTTCTAGAATGGGATAAAGAAGTGCTAGAATTGGTGCAACAGTTTAGAGATAAGGGTGTCGTTGGCATTGATATAGCGGGTCCTGAGAACAGACACTCAACGGTAACGCATTCGTTCAATGAGGATGTGATCAATACGTTCACGAAGGCAAAGGAGTTGGGTATTCATCGGACAGTCCACGCGGGAGAAGTGGGACCCGCTGTTAACGTTGAGTTCGCTGTGGAGCGCCTACACGCCGAGCGAATAGGACACGGGTATAATGGTGTACTCGATAGCAATGTGTACCTGAAGTGTTTGGCTCAAAACATTCACTTCGAGACGTGTCCGCACTCCAGCTATTTTACGGGTGGTGTCGACCCATCGGTCAGACACCCGATCCTCAAACTGGCCGAAGAGGGCGCCAACTTCTCCATCAATAAAGACGATCCGACGGTATTTGACTGCACTCTTGACGCCGAATACAGATTCCTCACTAAATTGGGATTAAATGAACTCCACTTCACTCGAGCCGTAAGTATTGTCTGATTACAGAATTGTCGGCTAATTATGAATTGATGTCAAATGTCCAGAATATAAATGCTTTGAAATCATCGTTTTTACCACAACTACGAAAGGATGAACTTCTGCAACAACTTTACGCTACGTATGGATTCATTTGACAACTTTTTTGTTTATTATAATTGATATAAAACTATTGTAATTGTAATTAACAGTATAATTAAACGTGAATTAAATACTATATTAATATTCAGAATTAAACAATTGTTTATAATTCTTAAACAAAATAATTTTTAAATGGTAAAAATGTTTTATTGACAAATATCAAAAAAGTTTTTATTCACAGTTATACATCTGAATCATCTGTAACATCTGAATCAAATTAAGGTATTGTGTTTGCTACAAAGAATCAGTGAAAAATTCTATGAATTACAGAATTTATAATATAATACTGTATAAAGTATTTAGATTAATAAATAATAAATGAATTAAAAGTTAATGAAAATGAAACTGAATTGAAAAAACACTAAAATGAATAGAATTTTGTCTATTAATAGCCCAGTGATCACTGGTAGGCATTATTCATCATCAGTATTGGTTTCATTGAGTGTCGAGAGTGCTGAGGGAGCCGAGAGAGACACTGTCCAGTCATCCGATTCTTGTATTTTGCTGTCATTGCTTTCATCCAACATATTCTCAAAATCTAATGCCTCACTCAACTCCTGGTTTCTGATCTCCAGTTCGGATACCCTTTGTGTCAATAAATCCTTGTCTCTCTTCAGCAGTTCAATACAATTGTGGTCTTCGGGTGTCTTCCCAACAATGTGTCCACAGGTTTGGCATGTCTTATGGCCACATGCCTCCAGATGGGCAGACAGTGGTTCTAATGCCATCACCTCTTCACACCCATTCCATTGGTAATCACATCTGATCCGCAAGACATTAGAGATGATATTACTGGCCGTCATATTCTTGTGGACCAAAACATCGTTTCCAATGAGTATCATATTCTCATCATTCAAGTCATCGATTGGTCTCTTCCTTGTGGCCAATGATTGTCCACATTTAGGACACTCTTTGCGACCATACTTTGTGACGGATTTCTTGAGACATTTACGGCAGAAGGTGTGCAAGCATTTGGTGGTCACCGCTTTGTTATTGGTCTCTTCCTTGTGGCCAATGATTGTCCACATTTAGGACACTCTTTGCGACCATACTTTGTGACGGATTTCTTGAGACATTTACGGCAGAAGGTGTGCAAGCATTTGGTGGTCACCGCTTTGTTCAAGATATTCAAACAGATGCCACACTTGAGCTCATCTCCTAAGCCATCGATGGCCGAGAGATTCACAAACCGATTGCAATCAAAACCAGACATCGCTTCCAATCAAAAGCTAACGGAATCTTAACATTGAGTTCGTAATTCTATTCACAAATGTTCAGCCAATTTAAACCAATTTTCACGAGATTTTGTCAAATCATATAATCAGTAATACTATAGTTATTATTGAATTTGCCTACAGTTTAGTAAAACTCTTTTCCTCTCAATTAGTTTTGCATAAAAACTTTTTTACAGCGTTTGCAACAGTTTTCTAATAGATCGCTGTTTTCATTGCATAGCAATGTCTACATTAATCACAGTTTTGCAGATAATATCACTGTTTGTAGTACTGATTGGATGCGATGAGCAGTTCTGCGAAAAGGATCGCAAACTCCTGATGGGAGGGGTATTCAGTCACCGGAAGATAGTGTACGCCTACAGTTGGAAAGAAGTCAATGGCGTTCAGCTATGGCTCGTCTGGCGCTTCGAACCCAAAGGCAATCGATTGGTTCCCATCGGCAAAGACACCACAGTTGACAACCTCTTCAAGGGTTTGTCTCTTCAGACTTGCAATCAGTTTTGCAAACTGTAACTGACTTTCATTTCTCGTAGGCCTTCCCCTCTTTAAATCCGGATTTGGTTTAGAGCTGAAGTGCTCGGACTCCGACACCAAATGCAATTCATATCAGGATTTGGTTTTCATATTCTTTCAAAACGGTTATCGAGTCTTCAGATTCGCAAACAATGGCTTTGCCTCTGAGGGGGACAGTAGTGTTCCCTGGGGTCTCCAGTCTAAGGGAGGGGTCGGGGAGTGGGCTTTCGGTTCCAAAGACATGGAGGGCATACAGATCGATGGGGCGGTGTTTGTACCCGGATATCAATCACAGGTATTCATTGTATGGAAGGATCGGCTGTTCAGTAGTCCCGTCGATATGAAGGCCGCGGGCCTTAAGTGGACTAAAATCGCAGAAAACAAAAAACTGGACAATACTTTGGGAGGATTTCTGTCCGCAAGTAATGTGTTGTTCAATAAGAATGAAGTGACGGATAATATACTCCTTATGTATGATCTCAACGGCAAAGAACTCGAAAAGGTATTCATGGCTTAGAAATAGTGCCGAAGTTTACTATAAATGCATTTCCAAAAGACAACAGTTTGGAAGTACTTCGGGTGCGATAGGGAAGGGGTCATCGGGTGGTAGACCCGGAGAGTCGGGCGCTCTCGAGAAGGCCGACGAGGATGAGGTGAAGAGAGCGCAACAAAAATATCGCCACAATTGTCATGATTTGTGTGATCGTTGCCATCGTATTGACGGATATAATCACAGCTCTCTTCTGGATCGCAGTCTATCGCAAGAATAAGACAACAAATTCATAAGTTTTACCGTATATTTCATGAAAACTTTGTTATCATTGAATTCCCGTTATCTAAGAATAAAATAAAATTAAAGTCATTTCAAAATGCAATTACAGATAAATTTATTTTACATTTTATTTCAAAACAAATTGCAAATACTGTTAGATTCATAGATTATTGGATTATTCTTTGGTTATTTGAGAAAACAATACAAATACAGTAAAACAAATCGCACTCATTATGCATTAATTTCACTCAACTTATTAAAAATAATTTCTTTCAACAAATTCGTGTCAATATTCTCATCGTTTGTGATCTTATCTCCAATTTCTTTCATCACTTCTTCAATTGAGCCCTTCTTGAGATTCAAACCTTCAAAGTCTTTGAGTTTTTGTTTCGCAAACTATTACAGCAAAAAGGTTTCACTTTTATTACCATAACTTATAATGAAATCAAATAATAATAAGTTATAAGTTACGATAATTACTTCAATGATATGGTCGGGAAAGTGAGCCAATTGTGCGACATTTATGCCAAACGATTGGTCGCACACGCCTTCATTCACTTTATACAGAAGCGTGAGTTTGTCATCAATGGTGAGGGCAGACAAGTGAAGGTTCGCAATACTCGGCAACTCTTTGGCCAAATGTGTCAACTCATGGAAATGAGTGGCGAATAATGTGTACGAATTTATTTCGGTCACCAAATGTCTGCAATAATAACATACATTTCACACAAACTGATCGGTCATTCATTAAAAGCACAAAACAAATACTCAGATATAGCAGACGCGAGCCCATAGCCATCATAAGTGGACGTCCCTCTGCCTAACTCGTCGATCACGACCAATGAGTCCTTTGTGGCAGACTTTAGATACCAAATAAATAAAGTTTCAATCATTTTATTATACAAATCGTACAAATTATGAACACAAACCCTGAATATAGCGGCGGTTTCTAACATTTCGGCCATAAAAGTGGAAATGCCTTTAATCTGTTTATCTCCGGCGCCTACCCTCGTAAATATCGAGTCAACTAACGAAATGGTAGCGCTGTCTGCGGGCACATAGCATCCCATTTGAGCCATTAGTACACATAAAGCGATTGATCGGATATAAGTAGACTTTCCGCCCATATTTGGTCCTAAATGGAAATTCACACCAATTAACAAAACACAACAAATGTTTGCATCAAACCTGTGATGAAAAAGAATTTTCCAGTTTCTGAATCAAATGAGACATCGTTTGGAATGTAGGATATGTTGTCTTGAAGTTCGAGACACGGATGACGGACTTGTTTGAGCAATATTTTGCCCGAACCTACCATTCCATCAAATATTTGCATTGATTTATCGCATTCATAGAGAACTCATAAGACATACCTTTCGGTAAGAGTTTTGGACGGATATAAGGAATGGACGGAAGCAGGCAAGTGGTGGCCAGACCTACCATAACATCCAAATAAGTCAACAGAATCTCCAGATCTTTAATAGTCTCCGAATATTTGGCTAAAATATAAACCAGTGATTCGTTAGATAGCAGTGAGAACTCCATTACTGAGACGAGTAATACCGGTGTCGGCGATGATATCCTTTGCCAAATCGCTCTGCAATTTCTCATATTCTTCGCGAACCGAAACGTAGTCTTCGTTCAGTTTCCTCAACGCTTTGTTGGCAAACCTGAAGCCATCCTTTTTGGTGGAGTTCTTCACTTCGAAATACTTGTCGTTATTTCGGATACACTTCTCGTTCTTTCGCGTCAACTTAAACACGAATCCCTGTCCACTCGACTCCAACTTCACCACAGATTTGTCCTCCTTTTGCTCTCTACAGATCTCTTTGTCGACACTCTTATAGATCCGATTGGCCTCGTCTTCCAAGTTGTCGAGTCGAGTGCGAAGGTCTTTGAGGTCGTCGTCGTAATCGGCTTTAATCCAGAACTCGCCGTTAGATTGGATGCGCTCCTCATCGATCACCCCTTCCAGCGCTTTGGCTAACTTTGACAGCTCTTCGCAAATGACTCGCAGTTTGTCTGAAAAGTTGCGTTTTATTGCCAAACACTCGTCGCTCTCGTCGCGTACCAAACATCTCTCAAAATGAGGCAACAGTTGAGTCATTAGATAAATACGATAACAGTCCTGAAGAGTGGCTCTCTTTGAGTGGAGTTTCTTATAAATTCGCGACAAATCCGGCACTTTCTTCAGGTATACATCACTCAAGTCTTGTCGGATGTCATAGTTTTTCATCAAATACTCAATGATGTCGAGTCTCTCCTCTAAAATATAATATCAAAAATTATAACAAAATTAAGATTTTATTTCTGCAAATAAATACCAATTTTGTTGATATCAGTCAACGGCTGGCGAATGAGTTGAGCCAATAATCTCTGTCCGGAAAGTGTGCGACAATTGTTGAGCACTTGAAACAGAGTCCTATTGGCTCTCATAGACATGGAATCGTTGAGCGAATTGGGAAATAAGTCCAACGAATGGACAGCCGTTGCGTCCAATTTGACGAACTCTTTGACATCGATTTCTTTGAGTTCAAAACTTTCATAACTCGAGTCATCGCCCAAAAGATTGAGATAATCAAAGACTCCAGAAATGGCTTCTCTTGAGAGCGACTTCTTCTCTAACATTGCTTTCGAGAGAAATATCAAAACTAAACAAAAGACAAATCAAAACCACGAATAGCTTACAATTGATAGCGATTTCCTTATTATCTCTTTTAACTAAGACTTTCTCCAAATCTGATTCCAGATTCGATGCATTCATACAATTCTTCTTAACTGGAGTGACAAGAATCCTATTGTTATCCAATATTGTGGACAACTTCTTGGAAGTGGACTCTTGCTTATCGTGAGTGCAAATGAGACACTCTTTAGGACTGATTTGCACCAAAAGACTCTCCAAATGAGACAAATAGTCGTTGTCTTCAAACTCGCAAAAAGAGATCTCATTAACGGTGGTATCGATGAAAGCGACGCCAATCTTGAGATCATTAGACCACTGAATGGCACAAACGCCTCGACTATCAATCGACGCGTTCGTCGAGTAGATAATGTCTTCGAGAGGACCCAGACATCCGGGACTGGCCTTCAGATCCAACTGCCAGTCGTTTGAGGACTTCTTTTTCACGCATTTCTTGTATACCTCTAACCGCTCTTTGTTTTCAATGAGAATATGTCTCAGCAGTGGTTCATATCGTGCCTGAGATATGGCGATGGAAGCGATCTTCTGGTTATCGCTTCCAATGTATTTGATGGCAGAAGTGGTGCACAGAAACGATTTGGCGATCACTTCGGCGTTCGTGCCGTGGAGTGTGTAATAGTCTCCCCTATCAAACAACCGGTACGTCTTCGATGGACACGAACCCAGCGATCGATAATACGCCAGAAATGTGGGCTCTTGTGGTATGTCTTCACGCGATGGTAAATCAATCACAAAATTAGTGCCCGTTTTGTAAACAAGGTTTCAATGAATCAAATAAACAGACGTTTCAATACAAACCCAATTGATTCTCTTCGGCCATATGTGACGAGTGTTGTGTGCAGTGGTATATGTCTTGAGATGTGATAAGTGGTGACAATTAGTGGTGAACTGCTCGACAAACCCCTAAACAATGGTTTGAGTGATGATTGCCTGCAAAGAGCGCCAAACCATGTGTTTCGATGACATGTGAGTCATGTGTCATATGTTCACACATTCTCTGCATTGCATTCAATGGCACTCTCTTTGCTCTCACTATCGCTCCAAACGTCAAAACTTTTTGAAACTTTTTTTGAGTTAAAGAATTAGTTTTGAAGTGAAGTTTGTTTTATATTTTCTGATTTGTATTTTATTTTATATTTGAAATATATTATAAGACCAAAAACCAATATTTCACACATTAACACATAATTTTTTAACAAGAACATTTTTTCCCTAACACAGTATAATATAATAATAGTATTATTCTGTATCAGTCTCGTATGTTTAAAAAAATTATTTATAATAATATTGAATTTGTAAATTATCTAGGAATACTTTATGCTATTATTTTAGTGGTAAATGGCAATTTTTTGAATGGGTTTAAGACTTTATTAATAAGTTTCTGTACTTCAGGTATATATATAACAAAATAAAATGTAGTATTAATGCCGTATATTATAATATTTCATATTCTGTTGAGAATTATGTTTTAACTAAAACTTTGTCCAGAATTAGCATCACATTCAGACATCTTCACGATTCTTCTGTAAGAGAGCGGATGTTTGCGATATATTATGTAAATGAGAGACACAATCACGAGGAACTGGACCACTGTTGTCACTGTCAGCACAGTATTGGCTAAACTGAAGGGTTGTTCCTCTCTGGCCGATGAGATGAGCGCAGAGATCGTCGATATATTGGCATTAGGTTTGAGGAGAGCTCTGAGTTCATCGGAGGTTAGGATGACATCAATGGTTGAATTCTTGGGCAGCGAAGAAACATCAGAGACATTGGTTGCGGCGATTGGTGTGAATGTGTTATCGGAAAGGTATGTCTGACAGATGAAGTGGTATTTATCAGCGCAGGGGTCGTCGTACCAGAAGCCCATATCTGCCACATTGGGTGACTGTAGTAGTGATGTGCAGAAGTGCTTTCCGTCCAAATTGTTTGGTTGAGTTTTGGCCCAATTTGTGTAATTGAATGGCGAGTTGTCTTCCCAGACAAACGTGTCGTTCACGAGCCGTCGGGCGCCGATCCACACGTGGTTTTGGGCCTTATTTGTGAAGAATGCAAATTTCGTCACAAATGTTTGCTCTTCTTTCGAGTGAATCGACACAAGTGTGGCATTGAAGAAGTCTTTGCACACTAGATGTGACTCATAGAAGTTGAGGAATGACTTATCGGGATAGAATAGAAAGCATTTATTCTTGTATTGTGTCCACCCGTTCGCACAATGAGTTTGCAACGACTCCCCGGAAGTCACTTGAAGTTTGAAAACAAAATTTTTATTTTTAAACTTTTTTATGAATGAGAATTAGTTAAAGCTCTTAAAATGACTTACAAATGATTTTAATAGCAATTAATGCTAAATATAAAGGATTCATGATTTGTAGTAAATAATACAACAGTTATTTAGTGAGTAACTAATGTTAATAAACTGATAAAACAAATGGTTTGCTTTCTGGTCCGCTTTCAGTCGCCCAATCATTTAGTGTTCATATCTCACTTCCTTTAATAAATTTCCGGTTAAATTAATTGATTACTATTTTTGAGTATTATATGAAGTTTACATGTAAGCGACATTGAACTCAATCGTGAAATCCAGTTCGCGTTTCAATTGACAAACATTTGTATTCATTTCAATTCTGGAGTCTATGTTCTTTTGGACACAAATTCTGGTATTCTTTTCATTATAAATAAACCTTGATTACACTGGTATTATTGCTGTATCAACTTACTGGTATTAAATAGTACTTGATAATAAAGTCAATAGTTTGACTAGCTCATTTTCAATATACAATAATATAGTAATAACTATCGTATCAATATAATACGGACTTGTTTAATTAGGTATATTTAAATATAATAATTTATATTGTCTTTTAGTGTTTATATCTCGATTCAAACAACTAGCTTTAAATTGGCAAACATTTAAGGGGCAAATGAAAATTAAATAAGGATGTTTATACGAAAACATATAATATATGAATATAAGAACATCTCTTTACCGTACAATTATACAGTAGTAAATTTGTTTATTATAATAAGACTAATATACCTGTAATAGTTTGTTACAAGTTGTATTACTTATTACTTAAGGTTTTATTAAATATTATTTCGACATTTAAAAAACTAAATTAAAGTTTACTATTTGTATGTTTATTTAAATAATTTTATACTGAAATAGATAATTAATAATAATTATTAATGTTGTACAATTATTGTACACTGATGAGTCCATCAAAATACTGGACACTGGAAACAAAATTCATTATTTATAAAGATTATAGAATTTATTATCTATAAATATTTATTTAACCTAGAAAATTTTATCTAATTAATTTAATCATCATAAATTATGATTGATAATATACGGCATTATCAATACCGTTTATCAAATTTTATCGTTTTCAACTTTTAATTGAGGTTAAAGTTAATATTAGAGATAATTACTAAAAATAAATAATTCTACTAACTCGTTAGTAAATATATTAATACTGTACTATATTAATATCAATAAAAATTAACTAAAATTTTATTCAAATTAATTAATTAATAATTTTATATTACGGTAATTATATAATAGCAATTGGAGACATCAATGAATTATCACGAAAGTTATCACATTATTTGATTTTCAGAGTTAAATCTAGTTAACAAATAAAATACTCTTATTTCAATGTAAGAAATGAATACCGTACTAAAAGTAATATACATTCATACATTGAAATAAAAGATAAAAATTATCCTGAAAGTAAAACTAAAACCTCAAAGGCTTTGAATCAAAGTATTTAAATTTCAAGAATCTGAATCTATAACTCAAAATTTGTAACACAATCACTGATTTCATGAAATTACTGTCACTTTAAGCTCATAACTCAAAGCATTTAGTAGTTATAAACCACATCTTAAAACTCATTTAATAATAAATTCATTTGATTTGAAAATGACTTTTAACATAATTTGTAAGACTATATTAGGGCTTCTATGGTGCGGGTGGTTATGTTTGGGTCGTTGGGAAAATGGCACGTATTATAACGACGAGGACAGGTGTCCGGCCACCAAACCCATGACGGACCAGGAACTACAGATCAGGGACTGTTTGAGCACCAAATGGGGTGTTAATATGACAGCCATTTTGGCACAATTGTACCCAATTATAGCCAAACAGTTATACAACGAAACGGACGATCCATGGATGTCCGAGTCCTACATGCCGTCCACACCCGCTCCCCCGCCCCTCATCTTTGACGGCAAACACTGCTGTGCTATTGAGGAGACCTTTTGTGGAGTCGATAAACACGTAAAATATACATTCAATTCTATGAGAATATGCTTTCCTATATATTTCTTATAATAAAGTTACGTTATGTTCCCAATACCGCACTACAATTTAAATCACTGTATATTATGTGCTTGATTATAGTATTGGCAAATCTGTACATTCAACGATTGGATGCGTCAGAAAGTGGTGGCAGCAAGGTCGTATTTCCGGGAGCAATGTCACAAGAATAGCATTTCAATGGACAGTACCTTCTGTGGTACACAAAATCCACAGACCGTCAACACCAATGTCTGTCAGGACTATCTAAACATATACGGATGTGACAGTCCTATAAGGGCAGACCCTGGTACCACTGCTTCCCCACCTTAAGACAGTATGCTTTGTAATCACAGAATATTCGTTAAATTTGTTCCAATGTCTGTCAGGACTATCTAAACATATACGGATGTGACAGTCCTATAAGGGCAGACCCTGGTACCACTGCTTCCCCACCTTAAGACAGTATGCTTTGTAATCACAGAATATTCGTTAAATTTGTTTTTATATTATATTTTTATGTATTTCTTATAATTATTCAAAACGATTGTTTGTAGTTTGTATTGACCGGTATAGTGAACAGAAATTTACAATTACCGGTAGAGTAGTATTAATGTAATACAGTAGCTTCTAGTAAAATGTTAATTTACTATTGTTTCCGACGAATATTTAACCTGCTCTTGTTAATAATCAAAAATATTACAATTATTATTGAAAATCAATTAAACATTCATTTAATAAAAATTTAATGTTCACACAATAAATCTGTTTCAAAATATCATATAAAACTTGTAATAGAGTAATTGATACCGTAATATATTTTCTATATAAATGAAGTAAATATTGATATACTCTATCGATAGCGGCATGAGGTGTGTGCTGTCTATAAGAATACAATCCATTTTCGGGTTAATATATATATACAAAACAATAGCAAATTAATGATCATTTGACTCAAACGCGACCACAACTCAAGTCAACTCATCCAAAGTGAATGTCTCATGAATTTTGCGGTGAGTCTCGAGTGAATCGAGTTTATAGAAGCTGAGGGGACACCCGGGGTAACCGCACTCAGTGGGTGTGATCTTTCCGTGAGTCCTCACGTGTTTCCTCCAATCGATTTTGTTCTCAAAAATCTCACGACATTGCGGCCAATCGCACGAGTACTTCGACTGCGACCGGTTGGCGTGCATCTCGTGCTCGTGTTGTGTCAGCTCGCGCTTCGAGCCAAAGGTCAGCACACAGTCGGCCCACTCGCACATCAACGACTGGCCGTCGGTGGCCAACGACGAGCCCTCGCCCTCGTCGGCCGCCTCCCCGTTGTGTTCGACCCGATGTTCGGCTAATTTCCACTTCAGAT